AGCAGAACATGTATTTTACTTTTTTTTTTTTTTTTTAGCATTTTAATGGAAAGGATTATATTTTGTGCGTTTCTGTGTATGTTGTTGATGTAATTCTGGTAATGAAATTTTTTCTATATTCCCAGTGTCAGACCCGATCTCTGACTGAGACAAGTGATCGCCAAATCATAACTACAAGGGTGAGATTCTTAGAAGAGTTGATGAGTTTAAAGAAGAGAGCTAAGAATAGAATGATTAGAAGAAAACTAGTCACACCGTTTACCACAGGGCAGACCAAGAAGACGATGGAGAGATAATATCCAGACAGATCTACAAACACTTGGTGTCACCAACTGGGAAGATAAGGCCAACCGCAGAGATGAATTGAGGCGGGTGATATCTGCAACAATGAACACCAAGGGCTCGGAATGCTCAAAAAGAAGAAACACGTTTTATTAAGAAGATGAGGTAGTGTTGTGTATGAAATCTTTATTTATTGGCACACACACGCACACGCGCGCGCACACACACGCACGCGCGCACGCATGCACGCACACACACACACACACACGCATACATAATTGATAATTTTTGTGTAGGTCTAAGTGTGGAATTACGCATGCGTGAGCCCAGTCACTGAGCTTTTCCCTCCAACACTCAACGAAATGTACATGTAGCTAGTAAACACCACGAGTCTATTGAAAAAGAAAAGGTATAAATGTGAACTAAGCCACCAGTTGACATTCGATGTTGAGTATGTTAACTTATTTCCTTCTGCGCGGAACATTTGTGCTTGTAGCGCTGACCAGTTTAGTGGTCAGTCATTTTATTTTGTAAGCTGGCCTACGACAGTGTTGTAGTTGAAATTATACCGTTTTTTCAAGTGTCAAATTAGTATCTTATGGTCTTCTGGCAGCAAGGTCGAAATGTCTGTTTCTTTGACGAGAATGCTCTGAAACCAACTGACTGACTTTCTACCCCACTAGGACATCACACAAGCGATAAACACTCGATGACACAAAGTGCCACCATGTAGATGAGGATCGCCGTGGAGAAGTCCCAGAAACCGTGTTCAGACAATTGGCCATATTTATGGCCTGCCTATATTGCGGCCCCTGGCAAAAGCCAGGGTGGGGCTTCAAATAACAAAAAATTTCATCCTGAAAAGGAGGAAACTGTATAGACAATCTCTGGAACTAGCTGAACTGAATTTCTACCCCACCAGGACATCACACAAGCGATCAACACCCGATGACACAAAGTGCCACCATGTGGATGAGGATCGCCGTGGAGAGGTCCCAGAAACCGCGTTCAGACATTTGGCCATATATACATGGCCTGCCTATATTGCGGCCCCTGGCAAAAGCCAGAGTAGGGCTTCAAATGACAAAAAATTTCATCCTAAAAAGGACGAAATTGGATAACTTATAACCAGCTACCACAAAGAATCACGCTGAAGAAATAATGGGCACAGAGATTGGGGAAACAACCGTATGATATGTAATGATCGCATCAAGAACAGCCTTAAACAGTGAAGACCAGGTGATAACAAATGTGAGAAAAAGAACAAATAAAATATCTTTATATCTTACCTGAATAATTCTATAAACTTACTGAAGAACGTGTAGAAGAAGAATGAAATTTAGCAAAAAAATACAAGGTGTCACGGGTCGAGAGGTGGATACAAGGGGAGAGAACTTGTTCCCCACAACGTTCGTCTCAAATGCCTTGACATATGTTGTCACTCCCTAGTAACTGGCTAGGCTTTCTGCAACAACATGCTCTTTCCGTTTACATCTCATCAAGATGCTGACATTATATTTTTGGACTACAAGCCGTGAATTACACTGACTTTACAAACTTTTATGGCTAATGGATTTAGCACCAAAACAGTATATCTCACGCCACTAAACATCTTCCAAGGAATAACGCACCGAGACATGGTTCTGTTACTACCATCTAGTTCTGTGTAGATTAATTGAAGCTACTGTGCATTTAAAAATGCCAGCACAATTACACTATAAACCAGTGTTTTCACTTTGGATGTTTTACATCCAGATTTAGATGTTTTCCCTTGCATTTAGATGCTTTTTTGACGTTTAGATGGTAGACGTATTTCTAGATTTTTTTTTTATCTGGAGTAAATTTATAAAATTTAACCTTCAACTTCATCATCCATGCTAAGTTTATCCTGTGATCTTGTAATGCAGACTTCAGTAAAGATGAGGACATGATTCTATAGGGTTACTCATATAAATTGCCATGCAATTTGTGACTCTTTCCATTTGGATGTTTTTTCTAGATGTTTCCCACGCATGATGTTTTTAGATATTTTTAGACTCCGTTTTGGATGTGTCAAAGGGATTTGGGGGTGGGGTGGGGGGGGGGGGGGGTGTAGAGATTCTGGAAGATTTTTACTATTAAATCGGAAACAGAGGCATACTTTTGATCAGGTTGCGACTGCTAATATTAGCATAGCCACTGTTCGTTGGAAACTTAAGATGTGTACGGAGCACATGTGGGAAAGTTCTGAGTATAATGATTAAATTCATTCATTTCTTTCACTGATTCATTCATTGATACGGTGGGTAAGAAATATGTCAAGAAGCAAACACAGATGACTTGATACTGACTTAATTTATCCAATATTGGATGACTGCCAGTGATTTATGAAACAAATATCAACTAACACAGCTACACTGTGTTCCAGTTTTCCTCTTCTCATGACACAGCCAAACAATGATGACTTTCTTCCTAGACACACCAAATAATTTCGCTCAGCATACACATGAACAAATACAGACATGAACAAATATAGACATGAACAAATATAGACATGAACAAATATAGACATGAACAAATATAGACATGAACAAATATAGACATGAACAAATATAGACATGAACAAATATAGACATGAACAAATACAGACATGAACAAATATAGACATGAACAAATATAGACATGAACAAATACAGACATGAACAAATATAGACATGAACAAATATAGACATGAACAAATATAGACATGAACAAATATAGACATGAACAAATATAGACATGAACAAATATAGACATGAACAAATATAGACATGAACAAATACAGACATGAACAAATATAGACGTGAACAAATACAGACATGAACAAATATAGACATGAACAAATATAGACATGAACAAATATAGACGTGAACAAACACAGACATGAACAAATATAGACGTGAACAAACACAGACATGAACAAATACAGACATAACAAACACAGACATGAACAAATACAGACATGAACAAACACAGACATGAACAAATACAGACATGAACAAACACAGACATGAACAAATACAGACATAACAAACACAGACATGAACAAACACAGACACACAAAAACACCGACATAAAAAAACACAGACATGAAGAAACACGGAAATAACCAAATACACACATGAACAAACACAGACATAACCAAATACGAACATTAACAAACACAGACATGAACAAACACAGATATGAAAAAACACAGACACGAACAAATACAAATATGAATAAACACAGGCATGAACAAAATACACGACATGGACAAACACTGACAGAAAAAAACACAGACATGAAAAAATACAGGCATGAAGAAACACAGACATGAACAAATACAGACATGAACAAATATAGACATGAATAAACACAGACATGAACAAACACAGACATGGACAAACACAGACATGGACAAACACAGACATGAACAAACACAGACATGAACAAACACAGACTTGAACAAACACAGACATGGACAAACACAGACATGAACAAACACAGACATGAACAAACACAGACATGGACAAACACAGATTTGAACAGATACAGACAAAACAGACATGGGAACACTACGTTAATAATAGTATGCATTGAATGGGGGAAAACATTATAAAATAAATAAATAACAAATCTAAAGGCCTAGATACAAAAAAAAAAATTATCATAAAAATAATAAAACTAAAAAAAAAAATTATGCATTTAAAATAAACAGCGAAATATAGATAAAAATTTAAAATAATAAAAAAAAAAAAAATTTTATTTAAAAAAATGTATAAAATAAAACTATGTTTTCCCGTAATGAATTTAAACAATGCGGATACAAACAATACAATTCAGTTTTGTGCTTTATTTTATGTTGATGTAACTCTAGTAACGCACCTGAAGAGATACAGCTAAACATGCCTGGCAATAAATTGTGCAATGTATTGTTTGTATCCGCATTATTTAAATACATAAAGTAATAAAAATTAATAAATAGTTATATAAGCTAAATGAAAAATTAAAACACTCAATATAATTAAAGAAATAATAATAATAATAATAATAATAATAATAATAAAAATGAAACAAACCAATCGAATTAATAAAATCAGAAATGATACATATACACAGGCAACAGGTTTGAACAAGCACAGAAACACCAGCTTAAAACACCACATAATGACAAACGAACGCGGAGACATTACACATTGACAAAACACATGGTTACAGTCATACACATACAGAGACTTACAAAGACACATAGAGAGACACATAGACTCAGAGACAAACACATCACACCGAGGTACACACATAGAGACTCACACACAGACACATTATACATACATACTCAAACTACATAGGCAACACCACACCGCCACATACACACATACTACCATACACGGCAGACAGCATGGACATACCCACACCTCCCCCCCCCCCCCCCCCCCACACACACACCCTCCCCCAAAACACACACATTCCTTCCCACAAACACATACACGCTACACACACATACACACACACCCTCCTTCCAACACACAAACACACCCACCCCACACACACACACCCTCCCTAAAAAAAAACACACATATATCCACCCCATACACACCCACCCCACACACACACACTCCCCCAAAACACACACACCCTCCTTCCCACATACACACCCACACACACTCACACACCCACCCCAAACACACACACACAAAAGACTCACAGACAGGCACCGGTCATTCAGAGAATGACATAAGTGGGTGTTTTGATAGAAAGACATACAGCCCATAGCCAGTCACAGTGCCGGCAAGGACGAACACAAAAGCCAAGTAAGCCAGTACTGTGCCACTCTCCTCTCCCTTGGACGGCCGGTAGGGCTCTGTTGCCAAAGTTGGGGACTCCGAGGTATCGCTTGTCTCCGACAACAGTCTCATGATTCGGTGATAAATGGAGGTCAGCAGTGGGTACTTACCGTCTCCGCACAGCTGTAAAATAGGGCACAACAAACAGATAAGTATGAACTCATTGGCACTTACGGTAAGAAGTAGAGAGATCAAACGGCGTACTTGATAATATGAAGAACCAAAGCAGAATTAGAAATATTCAGTGGTTATTTTTAAAATTTGCATTCAATTCTTTAGTCCAATAGGGAGTGCATTCAATGTGATTTTGTTGTGGCTGTATATAACAGATATAAAAGGTAGCAAGGAAGATATGTAGGAGGGGAGGGATGTGTGGGGAGAAGAGACGGTGGCGATGAAATTATGAGAAAAATAAGAAGAGGAGGGAAAGAAGAAGTCAAAGGGGAGAAGAAAATTATAAAAAGATGCAGAAGAGGAGGAAAAAGAAGCTGAAAGAAGTGTGGGAAAAAAGATGGAAAGGAAAAAAAAAAGAGATTTTCAGAGAATCGCAGTTCCAGCGACAACGCAAACAAATCACCGGACAACTGCTCCGTTTCACTGCCAGCGACAACCATGAGTTGAGTCGAGTTGAGTTAGGAATTGACATTACAGCACTCAGGGCATTCCCATGCATGCTTCGTCCTCATCTTCAGCAGCCAGCGCAGAGTTCCAGTACTGATGGTACCGGTCACAATCTAGTTATATGTCCTTCTTGTCTTTTCTGTGAGTGTAGTGAGCAGACCAGACCCTCTAGTTACAACCAGGTGCCTTACTCTCTCTGGGCTATCATAATCTTCTTTCTCTGCTAATTTCGTTACTTGTTACCACAGGGCCTTGACCAAATCTGCCTTGTTATGTATCAATTCACCACCCAGCGGTGCAGATCCAGCCAATCTGCCTGCCTGTTCATTACATACCAGGCTGGCACAGCCTGAAGAAAAGATCCAAAGTATGCCAATGGCCTAGAACGCATTAAATGAAATCTTTCAAAAGTGCCAGTTTAAAAAAAGTAGGCACTAGATGAAGCTTCGCGTCAACTGAAGCAGCAATGACGACAGATCAGTACTGGACATGCAATTACTCGCATAAGGCACCACCAATTCTCTGGCAAGAGACTATTCACCATGCTACGAATCTGCAGTTCACAATACAAACCCCGTCAGACACTATCGAAAAGCATTCCAAATTTAAACCTGCAGCTCACAGTGTCGCGGTGTGCAATCTATTCTATAGCTGGAAGATCTCAAGTATTGGCTTCAAGTCTACATCACTATTGTCAGAAGTAAATCTAGCCATGACTAAAGCCAGTAAGGCTCCATATCCGCCATGTGACCAGAGGTTTAGAGGGAGATAAAACGGCATCTAATTATTGTAGTGAATCTCATTTTCTCCTAGATAAATTATGCCTAGACAGAATGACGTCAGTAATAAATGTGAGTGGAATATTTTGAGTCTAACTGGGACAACACGGGAATTGCTGATAGTCTAATTTCACGGGAATTGTAGAGAAATGCGGATAGTCAAACTTCACGTGAAGTATAATTATTCACGTGTAGAGAAATGCTGATAGTCAAACTTCACACGTGAAGTATAATTATTCACGTGTAGAGAAATTATGATAGTCAAAAGTTCATGTGAAGTATAATTATTTACTGGGATCACAAATAAAGTGCTGGCCAAATAGAATTCGGGTAAATCAGGGAACACGGAGAATTCGGGAATACAAAGAGGGGAGTTAGAAGGCTAAATAATGCCGTAGAAAGGGCTGGGAGTCAGTCTCGTTTACGCCTAGGAAATGAATACATGACGAATGATGGAGTGTCTGCGGGATCCAGAAAGAGTGTTCAAGTCCGACAGTGTTTTTCCAACGCCTACCTGGCCACCAGTTGCGGCGAACGGAAGTCGTAGCCAGCTGAGAATGTTTTGTGTTTTTGATCGGATAGACTCGTCGGTGTTCATTCAATTGTGAAATGGATGTTAGATGATAAGGTAAAGTTGACATGTTAGATAAGGTAGTGACTATGTTGTCCATTAACATTTACTGGCTGCAATACCAGCGAGTGAACAAATAATCTGTATGTGTAATTTGGATCGTTCGACAGCGCCCATGTTTTCTCGTGTGTTGTCAGTTAGTGAATAGAAGCGTGCAATGACTCACTAGAGCCAGAAGACAATAGAAAGTCATCGCAATTATAATGTTAATAATAAAAAAAAAAACAACAACATGTCGAAAACAGGAAGGTAGTATTTACCTGTCCCGTGAAATCATCCTCTTGAAGTCCAGCGAACATAAATCCAGCAACGCTTAGATTGATCATCCACTGTAGCTGGAACAGACACAACAAATCACTGTCAGCAACCTTGTGTTTGCCATAGGCTGGTCTCATATACTATAAGTTAAATGTGAGAAGATCAGCTTTACTGCATTGGGTTTATCCCTTACGGCTCGTTCCATACGGCTAGCAGCCTGTTGAGAAAGTCACACAAAAGCAGTAATTCCATAGATCCTCCGACGATCTACTGGAATCTAGGTAAAAACTGCACTCCTGAACAGAACAGCTTAGTGGTGACAACAACCCCACGACTTCCAGAGCTAGAGCCAGGGCTTGAACAGTTCGCCACCATGATCCTCGGTATCGAAAAAGAAGAAGAAGAAGAAAAAGAAGAAGAAGAAGAAGAAGGAAGAAGAAAAAAAAAAGTAGAAGAAGAAGTAGTAGAAAAAGAAGAAAAAGAAGAAAGGAGGAAAAGAAGAAGAAGAAGAAGAAGAAGAAGAAGAAGAAGAAAAAGAAGAAGTTGTTATCGTTTTGTTGATGATATCATGTATTTTGGTGTGGGGGGGGGGGGGGGGGGGGGAATTCGTTAAACAGTGTAGTGAGATTTTCAAACACCCTGTATCTATAGGATGCAACAACCGCCACACTGACATACCTTTGTACCCAGGCTTTCCTTGTCTTCATAACCAACCCAAGCGTCTTCATGCACGAAATAAGGATTCATCTGCGCCTGATCAAAGTGTCGATTTTTGGGGTTTTTCTTGACTTCCGCGCAAATCTGACCATTTACGTAAACACGTCTTTATTATCATCGTCATCATTGTCATTATCAACAACAGCAATTACAACAATAAAAAATAACAGTTTTCTCAATAGTTCTCATTACGTTGTTTCTGACGCTTCTCTCTTTCATTCATTCATTCATTCTATATTTTATTCTTTCATTTATTCCTTTTTTTTCCTTCTTTATTTCTTCATCTCTTCCTAATTCTTCTTTTACTACTGGTCATCTATTCCATCTTCTCCTATTTCTTTCTCCTCTCCTTCTAGAACAAAACTTTATTGCTACCACCACCACAAACGCTACCCCATGCGCTCTTGATAGGCCTTTTTTATTATTATTAATTACTGTACTTTTTTTTTTTAAAAAACAATTTCTACTACTTTATCTTCTACTACTTTTTCTTCTACTACTTTATCTTCTAATACTTTATCTTATACTACTTTATCTTCTACTACTTTATCTTCTACTACTTTATCTTCTACTACTTTATCTTCTACTACTTTATCTTCTACTACTTTATCTTCTACTACTTTATCTTCTACTACTTTATCTTCTACTACTTTATCTTCTACTACTTTATCTTCTAATACTTTATCTTCTACTACTTTATCTTCTACTACTTTATCTTCTACTACTTTATCTTCTACTACTTTATCTTCTACTACTTTATCTTCTACTACTTTATCTTCAACTGAATCCTGTCAGCTTTCTTTACTGACATGGCATTCCTTTTCTGTCTCCTAACACCCATTAGAGTAATAGGCCCTCAACCAACTCTCGCCAAGTCTTTCTATCCTTTGTTATTGCCTGCAGCTATCCTTATGTTCTCTCTACTTTTTTAACTTCACCCTCTAGCTCCCTTCCCTGTGTGTTTTCTGGCCTACCATTATTTCTTTACCCCTGTGGGTTCCAGTACAACGACATTCTAGTTATATTTTCCCCAGGTTTTCTCAAATTGTGTCCTATCCAACTCCAGCACTTTTCTTTATCTTTTTGTCCACTGGAACTTGTTAAGTTCTCTCACAAAGTTTCCTTTTGTGACTCTATGATACCATTTAATTCCTTCTATTCTGCGCAGGCATCAATTAAAGAATGTAGTTTATTAGTAATTGCCCAAGCTGTTCTCGCAGTTTTCGTTTCATACAACAGGACTGATTCGACATTAGAATTAAACATTTTAAGTTTTGTGTTAGTATTAATTTCTGTTGACCTCTATAAATTGTCTGGTGCTATAAAAGCTCCTTTTGCATTTTGTATTCTTATTTTAATATCTTAATCAGTTCCCCATGTTTATCTACATTACTACCCAAATAGGTGTACGACTTCACGTCATTTAGTGATATACTGTTAAAAGAATCCACATTATTTTTTGCCTGATTTATTTTCATTACTTTTGTATTTCCCTTATGGAATTTCAGACCTGACTGTTGTTATCTCGTATCAAGCATATTGAATGTATCTTGAATGAGTGGGACAGAAAAGAAATGTCGTCAGCGAAGTCTAGATCATCAAGCTTTGTTGGGGTCCACTGAATTCCTACTTGGTGTTAGCAGTTGCTGTCTTCATAATCCAGTCTATTGCCAGTGTAATTAGGGGACGCGACAAAAGACATTCCTGTCGCACACCTGTTTTTATTTCCAATCGGTTAGCTTCTCCCCATGAAGAGCTCATGTTTTTAAATATCGTCTTTACTAAGTAAATACGTTTGTGGGAGATTCCACAGTGCCCCTTTAACTTCCACAGAGATTCCATATCAATGCTGTCAAAAGCTTTTTCATAGTCTGTGAATTCAGTGTAAGGTGGTAAGTTCAGTTCAATAATTTGCTCTTTTATTATACGTAACGTAGCTATCTGGTCAGTACAGGATCTGTTTGGCCAAAAACCTGCCCGTTCATCTCTTAGCTTTTTATCGATAGCATCTTTTAATCTTTCCAAAATATTTCTACTCAATATTTTTCCAGGAACTGACAGCAACATAATTCCTCTATAGTTTTCACACTGCCGTAGATCACCTTTTTGGGGCAGTTTCACAAGCTATCCTTCTCTCCAGTCTGCTCGTATTTTTTTCTGTCCCCCAGACTTTACTAAATAATCTATGCAGCAATTCTGTTGAAGTGTTTATGTTGGTCTCAATAGCTTCTGCTGGGATACCGTCTGAACCTGCCGCCTTCGTTCCTTCAGAAGATTAATAGCTGTCTTAAATTTCTCCTTTGATTGTGTCTCAGAGTTAATACGTCACTCTATTCTTAAAGCTGGATATCTGGAGGAACTTCTGGGGCTGGTCTATTCAGAAGAATTTCAAAATGTTCAGCCCCTCTTTCCATTTGAATGTTAGTGTTAGTAAGAACCTTTACTTGACTATTTTTAATTGATCCAGTTGGCTGACTATATTTACCTACTAATCTCCTTGTGTTACTGGTAAAGGTCTCTAAGGTTTCCTTTTTCTGCTTGTTGTCTCTGCTTCTTGTGCTGGGTCATCTAAATATTTCCCTTCATCTGCGCTTGTTGGCCTCCTAACTTCCTTTTTAGCGTCTGCCTATCTTTACTGAACTTTTGATTTAGCAGCTCTAGGTTTGCTATTGTCTAAATCTGATTTTTTTTCCAATTTTTTTTTATCATTTCGATGTTTTCCGTCATTTTCCACGCTTTATGTTTTTTTATTTTTTTCTTGCCAAGAACTTCTACACAGGATACCTTTCAGATTCCCTTGAGCTGATCTCATGAGACTTCAGTGCTGATCTCAGCTAACTGCTGCAACCTTTAGACGCTTGGTACTTAGTAGAAACTGCAGCTAAATATTTTCCCCAGCCTCTTTATCTCTGAGATATCCTACATTATACTTGTTTTATGAATTTCAAATGTTGTATATTTACAGGGTTTCAATTTGATTTTACTTCATCATCATCATGTACCCTGCTAATTGGCGTAGGCGCTCTTGCATCTCCACAGATCACGATCCCTGGCTGCCTGGAACAGCTTTCTAGATGATATCCCTCTATGCCATCGCTTCAGCCCATTCAGCATCATCTCTCTTGTTCTGCCTCTACCCGTTTCTCTCCTTATCTTTCCAATTATTAAGATGTTTTCTAATGTCTTTCTTCTCATATGTGGCCATAGAACAGTGTTTGTCTCGTTATCATTGTTGCATAAAAAAAGATCTACATTCATTAGCCTCTTTCAAGCAATCGTTGTTAGTTACCCTGGCCGTCCAAGGTATTCGTAACATTCGTCTCAGAAACCACATCTCTGTTGCTTTCTGTCACCCATTCACTTTCAAATTTCTCCGGTAATCCATTTCTGTTTAGCTATGTGTCTTCTTTCTGGTAAAATGTCTTTGCTTGTTTGATGAATAGACTCGTTCAGTATTTGCCACTAACTTGTTTGTATTTTTGGTATTGCATTGTACCTGTTCCACGCAATCACTCTATATCGTTCCTGAATGTCTTTATCCTATCTTAAAATATCGTTGTTTAGTCTACAGTTTTTACTTACCAATAGAACATTTGTATTGAATACATCAGCACCTCTGAAAGCTCTATTATCGTACAGTGTTGATCAAAATTGTTTGTTTATACATAAGTGATCAATTTGATTGGTTGTCTTATCTTCTGTGAATCCCATGTGGCCCTTTGATAAAAAATTAAAATTTTGCCACTGTGCCGATTCCATCTATCGATCAATCGGTTTGTCCTTTTCGGGCTACTGTTCTGAAATGTTTATTCATTCCTGTTCAACCTCTAAAGAGAACCCCGTAACCGGTACATCTGTCAGGTATAACATGTAGTCATTTACAGGTGAGAAAGGATTCCTTCCCAAAACGCACCAGAAATATGCCTGCCCCAAAACTGGCAACATAAAAAAAAACAAGTAAAGGACCCTTTTCCACGCCCATAAGCGTATAGGCATATAGGGCTAGACCTATATTTTTAAAGACCAATCGGCACAAGATGGCTGATGTGGTCAGCTTCACGCCCGCCGCCTCCACTTCCCGGGACTGCACCCGGTACCCACTTTAAGCGTGGGTCGACCTGGGAGTCAAGGTCCTTTTTGAAAAAAAGTCTCTACCAGGGAGCAAACCCACGACTTTAACTGGCAACATACTACGGCTCTAACCCCGACCCTCACTGACCTGTGGATACAGCATCCCGGAAGTAACATTGTAATAAGCTCCACGCTCTATCTCCTGCTTGACAGGTGACCCAGGCGTGATCTCTGCCCAGTTGGTGAGCTTCAGATAGCGCCCTTCTCCCGTCAGACCGACCACCAGTTTTCGATAGGGCAGTCCCAGATCGTTCCAGTAGTGGACGGAATAGTTCTAGCAGAGAGATGTCCAGGCATCGGATTTTAGAATTCACTGTATGTTTTAAGGCCCTATATTTGTGGGGGTGGGGGGGGGGCGGGGTGATACATCTATTGACCCCTAGCGTTAATAGACCTGTCGTAATGACCGACTAACTACGTTTTTACTTCTCTGATATTTTCTTTTTTTTTCTTCGCCTTCACCGATCAAACTCCAGCGAAAAGTTCGTTCACCCGTGGAATTTAGTCTTGTTCCAGAACCTGAGTGTTGCGTGCGCATACATTTTACAGATCTGACTTATTTTTTCGCAGATTATTATTGCTTGCCCTTTAGGCAGATGCACTCTGACTTTAACGGATGCCCCCAGTTAGTCGAGTCTTACTAGACGCCTTTTGGGAAGTTAGTGGGTGTTATCTTCTCCTTCCAGCAATCTAGTAACGGAATCCACACATGCAGAACTCCGATATGTTGGGCGGTAGAGCGTAGATATCACAGCCTAGCTGTAGCCATCAAACATTATTGTTGTAGGGGAGCTAATGTAACATAATAGTTGAACTCTTGTCTGACGGCCTGTGGCTCTTGGGTTCAAATGCTCATCGAGGCATACGTCTTTAGATGAACGGAAATGTGTAGATAGCTAGTTTTATAGGCAGATCCATAATGAGCGACATAGTTGTTTTGTGTGTGTGTGTGTGTGTGTGTGTGTGTGTGTGTGTGTGTGTGTGTGCGTTGGGAGCCATGCAGATATGTAGCTATTGATGTAGGTAGTTTTATGGTTAGATAAATAGGTAGATTTGTATTTAGGTATTTATGTAGATAGTTATGAGTTATTATTAAACAAGCCAAACCATTTCTTCAGGCCTCGGAGACGTGGTTCACAAGAAAAATCTTTAGATTTCTTAGGCAGCCAAAAAGAGCAACCGAAAAGTTTCAAAAGAGTTAAGAGCTGAAAGACATTTCATCACATACATTAGAAAGAGGCAATCATCATTTGTGTGGGTCATTTTAGGAGAAGAAGGAAACTGGAGCAAGTTTTCATCAATGGAAACATCTGTGAAACGAGAGACAGAGAAAGACAACGTGAGAAGAATGTTGATAGTTTTCTGTCTGGCATAAGGGAGTGTGAACAGACCAACTGATACACGCCGTTGCGGTTTGCAGATTGTGGAGAGGCATGATCGCCAACGCCATTCTGCAAGGCACTTGATGGTGATAAAGAGTTAGGAGTTGAGGGGTAGTTTCCTGAACCGTCATCACCACTCTATATACTGTCATGAGCGCTCTGTCAACATCTCAAGAAAGCATCCAAGAGTTCCGGCTTCAGTGATACAAGATTGTACATCCGTCTTGCATTTCTCCTGAGTTTGGGCTGTCGGCCAGATTCCTTTGTCACATCTCGCTGCACAAATATTTGACAACTCTGACTTCAAAAGATGCTCTCAGTTCGTCAAGTCTTACGACACGCCCGTTAGGGAAGCAGTGGGTCTACTCTTCTGTTTCCCACAACGGGGTCACGGAATCCACACGGGCAGAACTTGGATATGTTGGGCGGACAAGAGCAGATATCACAGCCTAGCTGTAGACACCAAATATTATGGCTGAAGGGGAGCCAATGTAAGTAATTACTTGGCTAGATAGGTAGGTAGTAAAGTTATCGACACTGGTCCATGTCTTCAGGCGTATTAGGCATATAGGGCCAGACCTAGATTCTATAGACAAATAGGCACGTGGTGGTCAGCATCAACGCTGAGCGGTTTTTACTTCCCAGGATAGAACCTTGTACCGATTAAAGACTGCCGACCTGCAAGGCAAAGTCATGCTTGAAACAAAGTTCGGCTCAATCAGGAACTGAACCCACGGCCTTCTGATCCACAGGCGAGCATCTAGACGCTAATTCACAGCGGTTCTCAGATAGGTAGGTAGGTCTATCTATTTAGTTTTATATAAGTAATTATGTAGCCAGACAATTTTGTAGTTAGACTTTTATAGGGAATTAAGTAGGTAGGGAGTTATATAGGTAGATAAGAAAGTAGATTTGCAGTTAGTTTTTGTGTGTGTAGGTAATTGTGTAAATACAAGGTCCGACAATTAAGTAATGAGACTTTGATGCATTGATACAACACGTGGCATGATCTAACAATCACTGGAATGACCACTGTAGTTCTTGTATAGGTCATTCCTAAAAATAAACAGAGGGGGGAACCATTTGAGGCCGTTAAATATTATGAATTAATCAAGTAACAGAAAGTATTGTGAACGGCACTCATAGAAAGAAGTAGAAAGATAGAAGAACACAAACACAGTCTTGTATAGGAATGGCCCTTAAAGTCAATGTTACGGCCCTTTGGATGCCATCAATAGGGTGGATGATTGAGAACACGCATCTGTTTTAGGGCACACACAAAAATACTAGTACAACTACCGCCCTTTGAGCTAGTGCATTGTCAGGAAAAAGGGAAAAAGGTGTTGAATTCAAATCGACAAGCAACTGTTTTCTTGCCTAAATCTTAAACGAAAACTTTACATATAGTCTCTGTATTAACAACAAATTCATCTAGTATCATCATCACAGTCGAACAGCGATCTTTTTGTATCCGTTCTCGGAATTTTGCAATGAGTTCTTCATTTCAAACAGAAATTGGGCATCCAGGTCTAGCTGCATTCGTAATCATTTCCACAACACTTTTGAATGGGAACACCAGCTGAAAATCTGTGCTCGAGATTAGCAATTATCTCCATAAACTTGTCGCATTAATTGAACTGTCGCAATGGCGCTTTTTCGGAGTTTTAAACAGAATTTAATGTTAGCTTTTTTGCTCCATGCTGATCACATAACTATGCACCTCTTACTAGGTTAACAAAATGGTGGCATGTTTGTTATCTGCTTATCGGGCGGCGATAAAATGTTGCCAGATTATAGGGGAAGGTTGCCTCTTTGGATTCCATGCTTTAATTTATAGATTGCACTTTCGTCTTGGTCATAATAAAATCAGTCTCATTACTTAATTGTTGGACCTTGTATGTAACTACGCAGGTAGACAGGTAACAAATTTAAAAGCTTGGTAGACACGTTAACATTCGATTTGTTAGCTTTTGAATAAAGTACATAGGGCTGAGTAGGCACTAATAATGGCTGGACTAGAGTCGCTGCACTTACTACATTAAGTGTCGGGTCAAGGGCGGAGTTGGGGTTATTAAACAGCGCACTACTAAAGGTGGCGTACCGCCTGTTTGGCATCACCAGCTTGTATGCCTTCACTAGAACAAAGTCGACGTATCTGAAAGTGAACGTGAAATATCTCGTAAGTCGATTCATAATATTCGTTACAAACTGTCTGTTACGTAATGTATGCAGTTATCACATTTAAGGGCGCTTTTAGACAGGTAGTTGTGGGGTGGGTGGACTTCAGCCTAAGGAAATAGGGCGGCATATCTAGTGCATATTGTAAAACTGCTGCTAGATTAGCACGTTTTCGACATCTGTTTTGCATTCATCAAATTCGACCTCTTATTGTACAACAGAGAGTTAGCGGTTTTTCTACCACTATCCCACCACCCGCCCCCCCCCCTTTCCCTGCCGTTAACCCAACCCTTGTGTCTAACAATATGTGCATCTGACCTGCTACCCAAGATTTCAGGTAAGGCATAACGATTAGTTAATTAATTAGTGGACACATTATTTATCGTCATTGTACTTCACACCATTATTCCCGTAAGTTCTCTGATGCCCTGATCGGTAAATCCCACAGCGTGAAGCGGCTGACAACACCAGTCCAGTGTTCGTTTCTTGTTCTACTTCGGCTCTCCGCATAACACTCTTGTCTAGCCACACACATTTTAACTTGTTCTTGCAGTCTTGTCAAGGTTGCAGATCCACGGTCATCACTTGGTTCTTGCAGTCTGGTCGATGTTGCAGATTAACGGCCATCATTTAGTTCTTGTGTAACTTCTCGTAAAGTATTAAATATGTCTGTTTGGTTTTTTGCACGTCCGTTCCTCACGGTAGCTTTACCTGTTAGCCTCTCATCTTGCTGAGTGCCTTGTGTCCCGTGGCACGAATATGAAACTGGAAGGGGCCAGCCCGGAGCGCTTCAGAGACTCCAAGTTCTGTCTGCGAATGCAGCCAAATAACATACGATTATTACAGAGCAATTGTTTGTTCTTAACAAACATTTTTCAGCTTTATTTTTAGGTAACACTTACAACTTATAGATCCAATGCTCGCGCGCAAGGCCCTCGGCCAGATCACATCTCTAACTAGAACAAATATGTATACCTACATTGCAATTTCTGGTACATCAAATCCTGCATCCACTTGTGTCCGTAATCCAGGCCCTGCTAAAGTCAGCAGCAGTACAAATGCTTGATTGTCGTGGTTGAATGCGATTCTTAACGCCTGCAGACATAAGACAACAAAGGGCTGCAATGTAGTGTTAGGCAATACTGAGAACCCTGTAGGCTTAGAATCATTGTATCCACTGCAAGCTCATCATCACGTAGCACGTCCTCCGCAGAACGTCGCTTTCATAATAAAATGCGTGAAACAAGCTTGGTCTTTCGCCAGATCTTCTGCCTCGTGCACTTTTCATACTCAAAGAGTCGCATACATGCTGCGCCCGTCTTCGTGCTGGTCTGCTCCTGCTCCTTTTTCCTGACACAATACCTTCTGCTACTATGCTTTTTAATTCGATGTAGACAAAATATTACATTTTTCGAGATAAGTTGCTGTTTTGTAGTTAGTCTTCTTTGATATTCAAATTTTTTAGGATGTCAGTATTTCTTTCCTTTAATTCTCAATGGTATTCTGAGAATCTGTCAATACTATTTCAGCTCCAGTGACCCACTTTTTCTTCCTGACAGACTGGGAGATAAACTACGACTCCCATCTGCATTGTGCTACAGGGAAGATACATGCCCTCAAATCGTGTCCTTGATTTTATTGATTACTGATTAAATGTTTCGACATCATGGCACACTGGTCATATCTATAGATGCTCCGTCTTCCGCAGCAACCTTCTTCAGGTGTAGATACTGTTTCTCCAGCACACTGATTGTACACACATCGTTAACCTCCTCTCATCTGTCCATCCAATTTGTACACCCAGATGCTGGTTCACGCATTCTTACAATGTTATTTCGTCTTACATCTTGTCTTCTGTCAGCATTCGTTCCTAACTGATCTTCAGAATATCTCCTTTGTCTTCCGTAGCTGTCGCTTTTGTAGTCAGAAAATCAGCTCTTTTATTACCTCGCACTCCAAAACATCCCAAACGTATATCCAACCGATTCCCTGTCGTGTGGACATGCTGATGCTTGGTACCCACTCATGCCACGTTTGTCCATTCTCAACCTTTCCCAATATCAACTGAGAATCCGTCACTAAATTCCTCGGTAACTCTGTTTTCTGCTATCCAGGGGAGCTGCAGGGATTGTCTCCACCTACATCCTCAAGTTTGAAGTTGTAAATGAAAATGCGCCATTTTGTTTTGCTGCGTCTTTCCCTCAAATCACGCCGAAGATGCTCAGGCATATCTTCCATCCCGATGAACCGAACCATCGGTGTACACTGATACATCAAGACCAGCGTTATCAAATTTCATTTGTTGTACCTTTAATTCTGTCATACCGTCCTACCCTCTCTACCTTCTCTCCCTGGTGTGATACTTACTTGATAGAAACTGCTGTTGTGGATGTTTGTGACGACCCATTCCTGCCCCTGTGTGTTTACTTGACTGAGTTTCCCAGCCCAAAGGTAAATTCATCTAGTGCCAATAATGACTTTCCTCTTTTCAACTGTTTTGTTATAACACTCCTCAGTCTGCCATGTAATGGATACCTTCCACCACTGGTAACTGGCATGAAGACCTTGTGTCAGTGGCAGTCAAGATTGTATCCATGTCAATCTAATCAATTACTTCATTGTTCTAAACGGTGTCTTTCGTGTGCAACCCAAGACGATTCTCATTCCTTCGTTTTCAACCTATGTGAGCTTTGTACACTGTCAAGTAGATAGGATTACAATACCATAATCAATTATTTAAAGGTCTAAATGGTTGAACCATTAGACCAACTGTCTATGTTCCACATGTGTTATTAACATCGTCTTCAGTGTCACCAAGCAACACTTGCATTTGATCACAGTCTGTTCAACGTGATATTTATACCACAGACTGCTATCAAAATTCAAACCCAAGTGTTTTAACCTATCCCTTCTTTCGATATTTATACCTTCATAGATATGCTAGGCACCTCCTCCTTCCCAACGTTGTTGTTTAAGGAGCACCACAAAATACTGGCATTCTCAGGGTTTGCCCACGACTGCGTCTGTTCACACCACTTCGACATCTCATGTAAATCACTGGGTGAACTTCTTGTAATGTCGTGCCTGTCTGGCCCGCTCCTATACTTCCCAGACTTGCTGTATGTGTGTTGAAAAAGACAAGTGACAGATTTGATCTCTGAGGTAGTCCAAGACAAATGAGTATTTGCATCCATGTTCCCGAATAAAATAATATTGTTCTCTCCAACAGTGCTGCGTCCCCCCCCCTACCCCCAATCCAGTAAACCAACCACATGATTTCCTAGCTGGTGCCTAATTGCAGCTGTTTAATTGTGTTCAAACTTTGCCTTTATGTGGTCTTATTGACACTGTTTAATCTTGTGTAAACTTGGCCTTTATGTGGTCTTTTTGACACTGTAAATCTTGTGTAAACTTGGCCTTTATGTGGTCTTATTGACACTGTTTAATCTTGTGTAAACTTGGCATTTATGTGGTCTTATTGACACTGTTTAATCTTGTGTAAACTTGGCATTTATGTGGTCTTATTGACACTGTTTAATCTTGTGTAAACTTGGCCTTTATGTGGTCTTATTGACACTGTTTAATCTTGTGTAAACTTGGCATTTATGTGGTCTTATTGACACTGTTTAATCTTGTGTAAACTTGGCATTTATGTGGTCTTATTGACACTGTTTAATCTTGTGTAAACTTGGCATTTATGTGGTCTTATTGACACTGTTTAATCTTGTGTAAACTTGGCCTTTATGTGGTCTTATTGACACTGTTTAATCTTGTGTAAACTTGGCATTTATGTGGTCTTATTGACACGTGTAATCTTGTGTAAACTTGGCATTTATGTGGTCTTATTGACACTGTTTATTCTTGTGTAAACTTGGCATTTATGTGGTCTTATTGACACTGTTTAATCTTGTGTAAACTTGGCATTTATGTGGTCTTATTGACACTGTTTATTCTTGTGTAAACTTTACATTTATGTAGTCTTATTGACGCTGTTTAATCTTGTGTAAATTTTGCAATTGTGTAGTCTTATTGAAGCTGTTTAATCTATGGATTGCTATTGCTAAGTATATGTATGTATGGAACTGTGTATAGGTATGTGTGAACGTATGAGAGGTGCGTGTGTGTGTCTTCCAACCTTAAACTTTTACAACTGTCAACAAAATGTGCCTGCCATTTACCAGGAAGCGTCGTTCGTCTAGTCTGCAGAAGCTGACCTACTGGACTAAAGGTCAAGGTATCAAATCGTCATCAAGGAGCATTTTCTCTACAACCGATCTTGGTTGACAGTCGCACATAGTCTCAAAAGGATTGCAAGTCAATATTTAGTTACTCGTAAAGGGTCAGCCTATAATTTTCAAAAAAATGTTTTATTATATCATAGTATTATTTAAAAAAAAAAAAAAAAGACAGTTTTAGTTAAAATGGCTGCAAATTCTTCCCAGGATAGTCCTGTATGCACGGGAAGAATGAACACAACTCACCGACAATCTTAGTGACCATGTGCAATGTGGTTTGCTGACCATAAATTCACACTGACTTTCAAAAAATTAAGCCATCAGGGAGAAGTCTTGACAACTTACGAAGAATTAGGGCTATAGCGTGGGTCTGCTTGTAAAGAATTCTGGAGCAATTTCAGGCGACAGAAAGTGTAAAGGATTGTCACCGGTAAGATCGCCCTAGTTGCACCAAAAGACCTAACGACCGGTGCCTCTTTTGTTAACACTGTGACTTGTTTCGCTCTAAGATGTCAGCTGAGACAAACTGCAAATGGTAATGTCAGTCAAAGAACCAGCCCCATCCATCTACATGAGTTTTGACTGCCAGCTCGAGGTTCTACAACTAGAATCACTCTTACTCCTGCTCATTGCAGAGCCAGTGTTGTTGGTATCACCAGCACATCCAATAGACAAAGCCAACAATCAGGTCGAGTCCCCTTCACTGATGAATCTCGCTTTATCTTGCTTTATCTCGCTTTATCTCGATTTATCTCGCTTTACGGTCTCAGGCAATGATGGCAGGATTCAAACTATGGGAGCGGTGTACTAAGAAACCATTTGAGAGATGAATCCTTATGGTAGGGGTTCTGTTGTGGTCTAGTGAGGCTTCTACAGACACGACATGATTTTACTCTACATTATCCTAAGCAACTTGACCTAGCCAAGATAACAGAACGACATCTTGAGACCAATTTTTTGTCCTGTTTTCACTATAACAACTTATCCAGTCCAACAACTCAGTATAAGTAACTTGTTCAGACCTATAAATCACTATAAGTAATTTGTTTAGTCACATAACTTACTTTGAATATCTTGTTCAGTCCTACAATTAACTTTAAGTAATTTTTATCAGTTACATACTTTTAGCAGCTTGTTCAGTTCAACAACTAACTTTTAGCAACTTGTTCATTACTATAACTACGTTTTAACTACTTGTTCAGTCCCACAACTTACTTTAAGTAACTTGTTGAATCCCACAACTTACTTTAAGCAACTTGTACAGTCCCACAACTTACTTTGAGTAACTTGTTGAATTCCAAAACTTACTTTAAGCAACGTGTACAGTACCACAACTTACTTTAAGTAACTTGTTCAGTCTTTCCTTCCTGCTTGCATTGTCCGGGTACATCCAGTCAATATCCAGGCCATCAAAGTCCCGATCCCTCAGAAAGTGTACCGCTTTTAGGGCAAACGACTTGATCGTTTGCTCGGTTGCAGTGATGCTGTCAAATGCCTCACTTCTTTCCCTGGGTCCCCCTAGCGACAACATGGCTTTGACTGAAGGGTCGCTGTTCTTAATGTCTGTAAACTTCCTGCAGGCGAGGCGAAGACGTTAGGAAATCAGCGAAGGCAAACAGACATTGTTTTCTTATATAAATAATAATTCAGCTTTATGTTATGGAGAAAAAGGAAGTGAATTAAAATACAAATGTAATAATGTTTACGAACTAGGAAGCATCGATGCTGCAGTAACAAAACATGTCATGCCAGCGGCAGTCTTCCAGTCGCATCTACACAAGGATGTGTTTTTCAGACTGATCATCTGCACTGACAGAGAGTCACTCGCTTGCCGGCTTCAAAGTCTTGTATTCAAAACCGCTTCAGGATAATTTTTTTTCGTTGAAAATTAAAAATTATTTTCTGTCTCATTGATCTTTATTCCCAAGTAAATCTAGTTTGAATAAATGAATGTATAAATAGATGGACCAAGAAGTGGCGTCACTGCACTCGGGGCAGTTCCCCACGTGCTTCGTACCTGCATTCAGCAACCAACGAAGAGACAACATGCTAACAGCGCCATTTGCAACCTGATTAAACGTCCACTTATGTTTCGCCTAACTGTTGGATATTTTTCAGAACCACTACACCCCATGTGAACTAGTATTGCACATTCTTTGTCTGCTCTAAAGCACTGTCCATTTGATCCTATAGAGCCTTCACCACGTCCTCTTCACCATACAGTAGCTCGCAGCTCTCAAGAACATCAGCAACTAATCTATCTGCCTGCTCGTTGTCTTGCACACTTGATTTTCATAGAAAATCTAGGATATGCCCCTGCTCTTAGTATTATCAAGGGATGCAAGCCACTTTGCGCGAAGGATGCCTTTTCAATTTTCCGAAGCATTGTTCGCCAGTCCGTTAGAACCACAACTTCCCGGACTATCCTGTTTCAAGCCATCGGAGAGCTACCGTGACTGCCTCCACCTCCATTCTCATACTAGATGTAGTGACGTTGTACGCGAGGCTCTCTGTTTTAAAACAGTGTCCATTCACCTTCGCAATAAAACTACACCCATTCTTTTTACCTCACACTTCAGACCCATCTGAATTTTCATTCATCAGCTCTTGCACCACTGATTGTCTTACCAGCGATCCATTCCTGGGCTTCCTCGGTCCAAGGTAAAACGGGTATATATTCATCTTTCTCTTTGCGTTTCACCGGACGAAATTTCTGGTTGTTCATCCACATAAACTGTGGTCTTGTTCCTGAACCTAAGTGTTGCGTGCAAATTCATTTTACATAACTGAATTATTTTGTGCAGACTGTTGGTTGCTTGCCTCTCAGCCAAATGCACTCTGCCTTAAAAGGAAACCCCCAGTTAGTCCACACTTACGACATGCTTGTGGGTCTATTCTTGATTTTTCTTATAATGATGCTCCTGAACCTGTACTTGAAGGGTGTACAGGAATGTCATGGGAAGTAAAGGCAGTCAGGTGATGTATACCACATCTGTAAAAATATGAATCCAGCATCATAAACCTGGAACACTGCTTTCTTAAGAGAGAGAGAGAGAGAGAGAGAGAGAGAGAGAGAGAGAGAGAGAGAGAGAGAGAGAGAGAGCGAGAGAGATAGAGAGAGAGCGAGAGAGAGAGACAGAACCAGAGAGAAAGCAGATACACTTTGCTTACGCCACAAGACAAAATGCAACTACCCTTTCGAAGGCGAACACAAAAACGCAAAAAAGAAAAGAAGAGAAAGCAGAAGAAGAAGAAGAAGAAGAAGAAGAAGAAGAAGAAGAAGAAGAAGAAGAAGAAGAAGAAGAAGAAGAAGAAGAAGAAGAAGAAGAAGAAGAAGAAGAAGAGGAAGTAACAGCAATGGCAGTAGCAGCAGCAGCAGACATTACACCCTCGTGCCGTCTGACCTGTACATCCCCAGAGGCCCCTCCTCCAGTCGTGGATTCGCTGCTTTTATTGTGTTGGCTGCGCTGTCAATGCGCGCATATGCGTAGATGAAGTGCGTACACAAGCGTAAGTCTATGTGCTCAACGTGAAAGGGAGGTCCTGAAGTGGTGTTGTAGAATGTGTTGTGGAAGTAACAACATCGGAGGAACTCCACCGAGGACATTGCTGATCATAATGAGAATAACAATAATTGTGGTGATGACTACAAGACCGCATTAGTTTAAATGTAAGCCTTTCTAGCTTAGAGGTTAGTGAACTCGTTTCACAATACAATCCTTGACGTTTACCAGAGTTCGATTCCCGCAGTGGAGGGTCTGGAAACATATTACGTCCATGTAACTTACCATCAGTAATGCGAGAGTCACACCGTGGAAGAGACTGAAACCTGACTGGTAATATTCCCATAGTTTACAGTGGCTACATTGTGCTAACTTCCGCAATGTGTGCAGACTTGTATTTATTATTTTTATAACACTTTTCAGGCACCGAACATAGAGGGCAATATGCTTATAGGCAATATCTTTTCTCAAAAACTTGTAACTCGTTGACCGTTTTCACATACTGCTTTTCCACCTAACTGTGCTCTGTCCTTCTATGCAGCAGCGATCTCATTGTCTCCATACTCAGCTTACCCAGTAGGAGTTGACTGGCATATCTTCTCTCTCTGACTCACAACCGATGTGTGCATGCCTGTTCTCATGTAGTACCCATTTCCAAACAGACGGTTCATCGCCGCCGACCCATTTGTCGGTCACAACGTCTCTAGAACGCTGCCCTGTCCATACTTCTTCCTTCACTAACCAATGCAGATACAGCCAGTCTTTCGGCTTTTTCATTTCCTTTAACCCCAGCGTGTTCATGTGTGTGCAGTTGAGATAGTTTCAGTTGTATTGGACGCAATAACGGTTTTGAGGAAAATAGTTTGGCTTCTAGTGGTCTTGGCTAGAAGTTTAGTCCCGATATGTTGTAATTAAGACATTCTTGGAGGACGGGATCTGGCGTTTCAAGTGCCATTCATCATGTTGACCTGGCTTGTTTGACAATCTTAAATGTTGTCTAGATGCGGCTACCAAGTCAAAGCCGTCTTCCCGTAATATGGTCATCGTCTTCCGTGGCTTTCTGATCGATTTGATTATTCTCTACTTCTGTTGATCAGACTCTGCTACGCCAGGTGGCGCATGGTAATGCCGAGGTGCCGGATTCGATCCCACCTGCAGGCGATTTTGCACAGAGTGGCACTGACAGCCTACCGTTAAGACAAGACAATGGCAAACTAAAGAACGTAAAAAACCGCTAAGAAAAACGCAACAGCTAAAAAAAATGCTGGAGTTGGCTCTGCAATGTCTTGTAAAAGATAGGCAACTAACCTCAGGTTATTCTCCATTTGCATCTTTCTTAGCTAGCGCATCTGCTCTCTCATTGCCGGAAACTCCACACTGGAAAAGTATCCTTTGCATAGACACCCTTCACCCAACTGTTTAGTTTGCAGGGCAGCGTCAGAATATCAGATAATATTTCCAGACCGGAGTGCCTGAAGTACAGCTCCTGCATCTGTCATGTATACCATGGGATGTGACATATGACTGGTATTTAGCAGTCGCTCTGTTCCTATCTTGATGGATTCAACTTCTGCATCATAATTGTGAGTCTTTCACCTTGGTATTTTTTACTTATCTCTGGTGTTATTTAGATCCTCACTATACACTCTTGCTACTTCATTTCTGCTTGTATTTTGTGCTAACCCATCTGTATAGCCACGCACATGACATCTTGGTGGGTATTCATCATCAGGTAGACTGAGGGTGGCTGTTTTACATTGTTTTCTCTTTTGTTCTTCCTTGTCAAACACTCTTTTCATTTCTGCCTGGATGAGTATTGACAACTTATATTCCGCTCTCCAGAGGGAAAAAAATATCAAGTTTTTTTTTTTAAGAGTCAAGGGTTGAACAGGATAAAGGTAATACGGCTGGTGAGTTGACATGGGACCCAGTGGGTTTCCTGTGGGCTGTAACGGAAGAAGATTTTTCAAAGCCCCAGCTTACTGGCGTCTTACAATAGGGCACTACCTGGTTTCTTTAGCATCATTATCATCATCATCAGAAATAAGTAGGGGCTTTACAGAACATCGCTCTCTCTACGGCACGCTTGAAATTCTCCCTTTCTGCAGCCATGTGTGCTTTCACAGCTAGGGCATCTTCAATGTCTTGTATCCACTTTCGCATAGGTCAGCCTCTGCCTCGTTTCCCGGAAACGCTACCCACCATCACCGTTGTGTAAGCACACGAAATAAAATCCACAGTGGGAAGCAAAGATGAGACACACTGCTGACATACAAACTTGTCGTAAAACTAGAATAATTAAGAGGTTGCTGAAATCGAATGTGTTTGGTCAAAAGCTGCAGATAAGCTCAAAACAATCGCCGTAATTATTTTATGTGGCTTGCGTCGCAATTTCCTATAAATGATATGCATCTAACAAATGCAATATTGCTCTTGAAACAAGTGATGCTAGCCATAAGGTAAGAAACATTTCTCCGAGTCACCCTAATCGCCACCACACACGCAAACAACATTCTATGAAAACATCTATGTTCTCTCATCTGTTGAGGAAATGAATACATAAACAAATCATTTTTTAACACCCTCAGTCCCAATACAAGACCCTAAGTGAACTGGATATTAGTTACATGCACTAGTCAACATTTTTGTGTATATTTGTACATCTGAAGTTTGGTCAGAGAAACAAAGTCAATCCAGCAACATAAGTCGCCCATAATATGCTGTGTTTGTAGACGCTGTAGATGAGGGGTACCTTCGCTTCTGTTGTCATCTTTATTGCTACATGATGTTCTGAAACTAAACCAGTGACTGCTGTTCATTTTCCTTGTTAGCAGAGCCGATGACAAACTGATGAACGGGAACATGAACATTGTGTCTACGGTTGCCAATCCTATTTTACACAATGTGTAGTATGATAGTCCTAATCTTCAACAGTAACAAATGCACACCAGCCGTCAAGAGTGTCCATCCATGTCACATAACATCTACAGGAACTCACCCAGAAGCCTAGGAAGGACACTGGCTACGACAAGAAGGCAACATATTCCGGCCGGCATGATGCTCGCTCCAAAACCATGCTGCACGTTTGCTGTCAACCACATATGACAACAAACTGTGTTTCAGAGACAATCATTTACAAAAACGTATGTTTTAGAGACAATCATTTACAAAAACGTATGTTTTAGAGACAATCATTTACAAGAACGTATGTTTTAGAGGCATGTTTCCATAAATATTTGAGAGATAACTGTGTCTTAGAGGCAGACAAACAATAACATTTGACATTTTAAGTTTTTACATTTTAATAATCAAATATATTATCAATAAAGAACCAAAAAAAAAAAAAAAAACATATGAATGTGTATTAAATATTGAAGACAACTAAATACTAAAATAGGAAACAACGAGAATAATAATAATAATAATAAAGAAGAAGGAAGGAAAGACGAAGCAAGAAAAAGAAAGAGAAGAAGAAGAAGAAGAAGAAAGGAAAAAAGAAGAAAAGAAAGAAAAGAAGAAAAAGAAGAATAAGAAGAAAGAGAAGAAGAAGAAGAAGAAGAAGAAAGAAGAAGAAGAGAAGAAGAAGAGAAAAAGAAGGAGAAAGAGGAAGAAGAGAGAAAAGAAGAAAGAAAGAAGAAGAAGAAGAAGAAGAAGAGAAGAAGAAGAAAGAGAAGAGAAGAAAAAGAAGAAGAAGAAGAAAAAAGAAGAAAGAGAGAAGAAAAAAAGGAAGAAGAAGAGAAGAGAAGAACTAGAAGGAGAAGAAGGGGAGAAGAAGAAGGAGAAGAAAAGAAGAAGAAGGAGGAAGAAGAAAAATAAATAGAGAGAGGAAGAAGAAAAGAAGAGGAGGAGGAAGAAGAGGAAAAGAAGAAAAGAGAAAAGAAGAAAAAGAAGAAAGAAGAGAAGGAAGAAGAAGAAGAAGAGTAGAAGAAGAAAGAAGAAGGATAGAGAAGAAGAAGAAGAAAGAAAAGAGAAAGAGGAAGAAGAAGAAGGTAGAAAGAAGAAAGAAGGAAGAGGAGGAGAAAGAAGAAGAAGAGAAGAAGAAGAAGAGGGTAGAGAGAGAAGAATAAGAAAGAGGCAGTAAAGAAGAGAAGAAGAAAGAGTAGATAGAGAAGAATAAGAAGAAGAGGAGGAGAAGAAGAAGGAGAAGAAGAGGAGTAGAAGAAGGAGAAGAAAGGAGAAGAGAAGGAGAAGTAAGAAGAGAAGGAGAACAGAGAAAAAGAAGAAGAAATTAATAAGAAAGGAGAATTAGAAGAAAGTAGGAGAAGAAGAAAGAGAAGATAGAAGAAGAAAAGACGAAGAATAGAAGGAGAAGGATAATAAAAGAAGAAGAATAAAGAAGAAGAAGGAGAAGAAGGAGATAAAGAAGGAGAAGAAGAAGAAGAAGATAGAAGAAGAATAAGGAGAAGAAGAAGGATAAGAGATAATTGTAAGAAGAATAAGAAGAAGAAGGAGAAGAAGAAGAAGATAGAAGAAGAGAATTAGAAGAATAGAAGAACTAATAAGATAGAAGAAGAGAATAAAGAAGGAGAAGATAATAATTAATATAATAAGACAAGAAGAAGAGATAGAAGAATTATAAAAAGATAAGGAGATAGTAAGAAGAAGTAAGAAGAAGGAATAGAAGAAGGAGAATAAGAAGAAGGAGAAGGAGAAGAAGGAGAAGAAGAAGATAGAGATAAGAAGAAGAAGAAGAAGAAGGAGAAGGAGAAGAAGGAGAAGGAGAAGAAGGAGAAGGAGAAGAAGGAGAAGAAGAAGAAGGAGAAGGAGGAGAAGAGGAAGAAGGAGGGGGGGGGAGGAGATGGAGGGAGAGGGGAAGAGAATGCTTTGCATCAGGTATCATTTTAGACAGAAATACATTGAAAGGTTTCTCAAGCTAAATTTCCTTGTCTCATTGCTGTAGCAATGACAGGATTGTAATCCATAAATGAGAAATTGTACCTCTTCTATAAGATTTCTAGGTGTTGTTGCGTTTTCTTTGATTCCCCCACCAGGCATGTTCTCTCTAGGATAAGATGCTGTCAACCCTTAGAAAACCCCAGATGCCATCCTTGGGTAGAAAGCGGGATGTTCTTGATGTCAAAATGGTGCT